CATGAAGCCAGATAACACACACCAATGAGTTAAACTGCAGGAATGTCTTAAAGACATAAAGACCTGGATGGCCGCTAACTTTCTGCTTCTTAATTCAGATAAAACTGAAGCTATTGTACTCGAACCCTAAAAATCATAGAAATATGGTATCTAACCAAATGCTTATTCTGGGCTCCAATAACACTGTAAGGAATCTTGGAGTTGTTTTTGACCAGCACGTGTCCTTCAATGCACATATTTTAAGAAGTATGAAGAACTGCTTTCTTCTATTCATGCAAAATTTGTTTTACATGGGTTCTCTCCAGGTACTCCGGCTTCCTCCCACAGTCCAAAGACATGCAGTTAATGGGATTGGGTTAATTCAGGGGTAGGGAACTCCAGGCCTCGAAAGCCGGTGTCCTGCAGGAGTTAGATGGGTCCTTGATCCAACACAGCTGATTTAAATGGATAAATGACCTCCTCAAACTATCTTAAAATTCTCCAGAGGTCTGGTAATGAACTAATCGTTTTATTCAGGTGTACCCCTGGGTTAATTGGTAATTCTAAATTGCTCATAGATGTAAATGTGAGTGTAAATGGTTGTCTCTCTCTATGCATTAGTGTTAGACAGACTGGCGACCTGTCCAGTGTGTACCCTGCCTCTCATCTTATGGTAGCTGGGATAGGCTCCAGTAGGGCTCGGCCATATCATACCGTTCACGGTAATACCGGTATAATGTTGGGCAACGATAAGAAAATCAAATATCGTGATAGAATATGTGTAAAATGCGCAGTGCCTTTGTTTTCATATGCACATGACGGAAAAAGCATGTCGGTGAATGAGAAGAGCGAAAGTGGATCGTTGAATGAAACGGATGAACCAGAACTGGTTTGTAAAAATTCTGCAGCTTCAGTGGTGTGGAACTGGTTTAGCTTTCGTCCGTCAGATACACAACAAAGCACTATTTTTGGTAGTGCATGCTAGCGGGCCGTCGTTATTACCGTGTTGTTTGGAAAATACGGCGCACTTAAAATCATCCTTTGATTTTTCTGAAAGTCGACAGAGCCCCTTATAATCCCGTGTGCCTTATGTATGAACTCTGGTTGTGTTTACTGACCTCGAAACGATTTTATGTGCACGGCGCTCGAAAATCTGTCAAATGTTTTACTACGACTCTGCTAAGCTACGAAGCCGCACCGCTTGATGGATTGTCGGAGCATTATGGCTATCGTAGGCGGAGCCTCGTGGAGTGATACGTACTGTGCTTCAACATAATATTACCATATTGTGTGTGTATAACCTCTTTTTAAGTTTTGTGGATGTTATACTTGGTTATGCTGAGGATGTGTCGGCCAGTTTCCACTGGAAATGCCTTTTAGTTAAACTGTCAGCGAGGAGTTTGCATTTGCACTGTTAAATGTTTATATAACTTTAATGCACAACAGCTGCTTGTTTAAGTGAAAATACATTGATGGGGATTTTTTGCACTAATAAAGTTGTGGAGTTGTAAAGTATTTTGTCTAGTGTCAATTATATCGTCAGTTATATCGTTATCGCAAATTTTCAAATGTATATCGTGATAAATATTTTTGGTCATATCGCCCTGCTCTAGGCTTCAGCCTCCTGCAACCCTGACAACAATAGGCAATCTCTGGCACTCTTCCACAGTGCCTGACCTGTCTTCCTCTCCCATCACCCCCAACTGTTTGCCGGAGAAGGCTGCCCCTCCCTGAGCCTTAATCTGCCAGAGGTTTCTTCGTGGTTAAAAAGGCCGTTTTACCTTCCCACTGTCACCAAACCACTAGTTCACAGGTGGTTATTTCTGTGTTATTGTAGAGTCTTTACCTTACAATATAAAGCACCTTGAGGCAACTGTTGTTGCGATTTGGCGCTGTATAAAGACATTGAATTAAATTGAATTGCAATAGAGTTAATGGATGGAGACTACATCTTTCACCATCTACAGCTCTGTGATTGCAGCCATTCTCCTTCTGCCTGTGAATAGTACTCATGGATACTGATCAATGGAGATGTCAGTTTGCTTAATAGCTATCCTGAAACTGAGCTCATGGCCCACTGTTAGTCAGTCGTGCTAGTTTCAGCCATTGTTCAAATGCACTGTTTATCACGTTGGGCAAACCTGCAGTCAGCTGAGAGTGAACATTTCACTTGGAAGAGTGATGAAATGCTTCTCGCACTGAAAACACTACATCCAGATGAACAGAATCAACTTTCTGTATCCATCCTCAGTTTAAAATGTAAGATTTTTATGGTCAAACACATGGGTATGACCGTACCCAACAGCAATGCTGAGACTCACCCTCTAAAGACAACCGCACCTTCTTCGAGGATGGAATCATCAATGACATCTGGAAGAGCAAGCAGATAATTAATAGACTATTTACTCATATTTTTATTCAAGGTGGGGGGAAGGGGCATAAAACAAAACCTTTACAATCAGTAGCAAAGCAATGCCAACAGTACAAAACACAATGAAGGTTTTAAAAACTGCCAACCAACTTATGTTATCATTACTTGACAAAGACTGAATCAAAGAACATGGTGGTTTCTTTCTTAAGAGGTACTTTGAGCTTGCTTTCACTTTCGCCAAGATCCCTGTTTCCAGCTGTAATGTGTCCTGTGGAACAGCTGTTTGTGACAAAGCAGTGAAGAATCGCAGAATTCTGGTTAAAGCAGATTTAAAGAAAACATTATTCACGTTCACTCCACCAGCCCACAGTCTCTAATAGTCGCATTATCAGTTAACTACATTAAAGTTAGGCTGTTAATCTTTGTCTTCGTGTGACGTCACGACGACGTCATGAGTGGCCATAATTATCAGAGGTGTAGCATAGTCCACACAGGCTTCCTGGTGAAAACTAGCAGGCCGACAGCGGCCTGTTGAGGCTGTAAAGCACACACTGTGTCGGGGCAAGTCCCGCATGGAGTCGGTACAGCCGCTGTTCTCCGGGCTGAGCTGAACCAGACTCGGGTTTAGTGACAGCAACCAAGGTGATCTCCAACACACCGGCCCCTCTAACTACTAAAAGTAGTTCGAAGCAATTCTTTCATCCTAACTTTTTATTCCGGTTCGGACTCGTTATACTTTTGCCTCCGTTTAGCTTTTAACTTCAGCGGCTGAACCAAAAATGTCTCCACCTACCGTCTCCACCCGCGGCGCCCCTCGGCTCCTGCTCCGGATTCTGCCCCCCTCGGCCGTCAGCCATGGAGCCAAACCTCGTGTCCGCGAGATTTGAGATATTTGAATGTTCAACGCTAACTCGACCTCGTACAACCAAGAAAGTCACGGTTACCTAGTCTGTGGAAACCCGTCTTTCAACAGAAGCACACGGAAGTGATACGGAAGTATCGTAGCGACGGGACCAGCAGTCCGTAGACACGCCTCACAGAAATCCCACAGATGGAGATACTCGCCCAGAAACCTGCCCACAGAGGAGTATTTATCTGTTTTACTTTGTGTTCTTCCACAGTTCAGATACTCCGTACGAACCATCATTGTCAAAGCAGGACACTTGCCCCAAGGCCCGCTTGAAGCGATGTTAGTGATGGCGTTTTGTTTTTTTACTACCGCGGTCAAGTGAGCCGTCATTTGTGCGCTGTGATGAAGCCAGCCGCTTCTTATCCACCCTATAAATTATCTTGCGCTTCAACACCAGCCTTTATGTCAGCGCATGCTCTCGTTCGTTCCTGATCGCGCGCGCGCACAAATGCACGCTCACACTCACACGCCAGCGCACGCGTTGCACTGGGACAGCCTGGTTGCATCATATTCACAAATTCATTAAAAATCGCTCTTGATAGTTGACGTGAAACTTTGAACACATTCGACCTCTGGTCCACCTACTACCCCGCTGGGCCGAGTTTAATCTCTTTGGCTGCAACATTTCACAAAATTAAAGGACAGTTATGCTCAAGTTCAATACAATTAATGCAAAATAATCACATGATGTTCAGAAATTCATTACAAATCACCCTTGATAGTTGACATTAAACTTGTAACAGGTTTTTTCTCTTATCTGGGCCAAGCTTCGTCTCAAACTGCTTTCATGCTCCCAAGAAATCAAAGGACAAGTCTCCTCAAATTCAAAAGCTTCAGAGGAATGTGATGATGTCCTGTGAGAAATCTATTAAAAATCATCTGTGATAGCTGAATTCCTCACAGATTCCTTTTCTTGGACACCCACACTAGTTTCATCAGTTTTTCACGCACAGTTTCATCTCAATCCACTGCATAATTCTGGGGAAATTAAAGGTCTTTTATGGTCAAATTCAACAAGCTCAATCGATTATATCACATAAAGAATAATAACAAAAAATCCTCTGTGATTGTTGACATGAAAATGTCATTTGACTCCTCTTCGTTACCTTTTCTGCATGCGTGCCAACCTTCATCACAAAATGCCAGAGGTGGGACCAAGTCATTGTTTTGCAAGTCTCAAGTAAGTCTCAAGTCTTTATCCTCAAGTCTCAAGTCAAGTCTCAAGTAATGTCAGGCAAGTCAGAGTCGAGTCTCAAGTCACTGGTGTAAAAGTCCGAGTCAAAGTCACAAGTCTGAAACTTTGAATTTCAAGTCCTTTCGAGTCTTTAAAAAAAAAAACGAAAAAAATGTTGCAGTTATATGCTAAATGTAAATATTAGACCATGTAATTTTTAAATCTGTGTTTTTCTCAACACATGACAAAATAGTGAACTTAGAAAATATACACAAATTGTGAAATTGCACCTCTTTAAAATGCAGCTCAATTAAACCTAGCTCCAAGAATAATTTTCACCGACAGTTCTGAGATAAGCTGCATGTTATTCTTGGATGCGGTTGTAGGACCGGCTTTAAAATCGCATGACAAAAATATCATACACATTAAAAAAAACTGCATCACCAACGTAGCCTGGACAACATTTGCTAGTTAGATGAAGTCAGCTATCTCATCGTAGCATATTTATAATTATACGGTTCTTGGAGTGAGTGCATACACTCATGAAGTTTAGTAACTTCAGGTCACTGCAACAAGCCCAGGTACAGTTTACCGACGGATGGGTGCAGGACCTTGAAATGCACCGTGTAGAACGAAAGACCATCGTACGTATCATAAGTTTACCAGTCTCACAAATCGTCGTCATAAATACACATTCGTTAACCGTTTATTAATAGGACCTTTGAGCTCAACGGTAATTAATTAGTAGTGGAAATAATTTCTGGTAGCATCACAGAAATGTAGCAGTGACAATAATACTGTATGCTGTAATCGTACTGGGCAATTAGTGATACAAAAAACTGTTTTATCCTGTGAATAAAAGTATATGTTTTTGTCAATGTACCATAATAACAGAAGCGAAACGCAATATTGTGTCAGGACAATTCACTATTTATGCACAATAAATAAAGGAGCATAGCGCGACAATTTCTGTTCAGCGCCAGACTTGCTTGTAACCTATATCACCAATTATGTTATGAAAATGACGCATTAACTACAACAGCAGACTGACCTTCGTGTAAATGCTTGGAGCAGACTAACCTGTGAGCTGGAGTGTTCTGGGACGTTATATTTGGTCTTTGAATGGCTGCAATCCAGTCGCCTCTTTGTTACTTCAGAAACATGGCTCGAACAATTTCTCTTCAACGACGTAATCCGATAACAACCGATCTCTTTACCCGTCGGCTTCCCGTGGCTGTCATGCGACCGGCTATTGCAGTTAATAATACAACAGCTTCTTGCCATTTTTGTGTTTCTTTTTATCGCTGTGACTGATTTCAATTGAAAGCCTGCGTGCGCTAGTACCTCTTGCCACGAGTTCCCAGAATCCTTTGCGGTTTCCCTGAATGACGTCACATTTTCAATCTCTATATAATATGCATGTTAAATTTTATATTTGGGGTGAAATATCAAGTCTTTTCAAGTAAACCGGTTCAAGTCCAATTCAAGTCCCAGGTCATTGGTGTAAAAGTCCAAGTCAAGTCACAAGTCTTAGAACATTTTTTCAAGTCAAGTCTAAAGTCATAAAATTAATGACTCGAGTCTGACTCGAGTCCAAGTCATGTGACTCGAGTCCACACCTCTGCAAAATGCTGCATGATTCCAGAGAAATTAAAGGACATTTCTACTCACATTCAACAAGGTTATTTTAATAAACAAAACCTTACAAAAAAAGTCATCTTGACATAGTTGATAGTTGACATGAAAGTCTCCACAAATGCATCATCTCTGCACTCACACAAAATATCTGTAAAGTTTTGGATCCAACTACTGCTATATTTCTCTTTTTTGCCTTTACTGGATAGTGAAGTCAAGACAGACAGGAAAGTGGTGTTGAGTACCCCAGTATAACATGGATTGGCTGTCTGTTTAAAGAGTCCGAATCTCTGATTGGTTTTAGCCGGCAAACAGTGCAGAGCTTAGATTAAGCCGACGTATGAGAGGACTCGCCCAGTTGTAACCCTTCCCTGCCTCAAAAGCTCTCTGGGGCTGCCCTCTCTGATGCAAACTGAAATGTAGGTAGTTTTGCAGCATCTTCCCTGTAGCTCAGTGCACTTGGTAACTGTAGATTATTTGGTTAAATGATCACTCTGCACCATTTGTCTCATATGAGCTACCGTACCTGTGTTGGCTAATCCAGTACGCGGGGGTTACGTTTTTGGCATTGGCCATTATGTGTACATGTGCTTGGATGGATTAAAGTTCGCAGTGGAATAATATCTGGAGTTGTCACTGAATCATAGCACCTCATGAGACTTCTACAGTAACTAACTGGGCTAAATTTAGTGGCTTGGAAAACAGCCCTAAGGGTCTGTTAGTTTTAACGGGCCAGAGTAACCTGTAAGAGGTATTTGAACTGTAGAGAATTAATAGCGTTTCGAGTTTTGTGGGTTCATAATTTCCTTTGGTTTTATGTAGTTATTCACGTTCTAGTTCTGCGGTGTTTCATCATTTGAATATAATGTTTTCCAGCACATCTGACAATTTCATGTCAACAATTTCAGATGATTTTTAATTTTTTTATGTGATGATATAATCGATCGAGCATGTTGAAAATTGACCAGAAAAGTCCTTTAATTTCTGTGCACACATACAGTGTGGGTGTCCAAGAAGAGGAATCTGTTGAGAAATTCATGTCAACTATCACAGATGATTTTAATACATTTGTAACATGGTGTTATCACATTCCTTTAAAGTTTTGTAAATTTGAGCAGAATTGTCCTTTAATTTCCTGCAAGTATGAAAGTAGTTTGAGATGAAACTTGGCCCAGACATAGAGTCGGTGGGCCAGAGGAGGAATGTGTTAAAAGCATGACCTCAACTATCAAGGATGATTGTTAATGAATTTTTGAATACGATGCCATTGTATTGCATCAAACATGAGCAAAAGCCATATATTATTTTTTCTGGAATATTGCAGTCAATCGAGATGAAACGTTGCCCAGAGCTACAGTAAGTGGACTAGAGGAGAAATATTTTGAAAGTTTGACATCAACTATCAAGGATGATTTTTAATGAATATTTGAATACTATTGTATTGCATGGACTGTATCAAAAAGTTGATTCAGTTCATCTGGACACAGTGTTTTCAGTGGGAGAAAAGTTTCAAAACTCATCCAAGTGAATTCTTCAGGCTGAAGTGACAAAATGTTTCTCCCATTGAAGACGCTACGTCCAGATGAACAGAATCAACTTTTTGGGATTTCCCTGCCTGGATGATTGAGCATGCATCGAGGCATAACGTCACAGTGTACATCTTTGTAAATTAAAGCTTCGCAAAATAAGAAAAACTTGAGCTGAAATCTAGCTGAAATACACACAAGCTTGTTGAAATCATTTATAATTATCATTTGGCAAATTTATGCTATGTGCATCAAATATATTTGACCCACAGAATATATTTAAAAAGGGTTAAAGACTATACCTTCTCATATAGCATTGTGTTATTTACATGTAATTCAATATCTTAATATGTATTTAACTCTATTTCTGAGCAGTTTGATATGAAAACTCTACCTTATAACTAAAAACAAAAGAGTTGTTCATTCAACAGGGCACAATGCTTTCAGGCAAGTTAACAGACAGTTAAACACAAAACTGTGCACTTGTCCATCTTTGTGAGTCACTAAAAACATCACAGTCCTGGGCCCATTTGTGGCTGGATTATTCTGTGAAGGTCTGTCAGACCGTGGAGCTGCAGGTGAGAAGTAGGACCCAAATGCAGGACTCCTATAATGAACAGTGAATTTATTTACAAAGTGCACGATGAATAACTCTTTACAAGTCCCAGGCACTCTTATAATGTAAGACAGACCCACGGGCAGGACAAACCGCGAGAACCCGGGTTAATCCAAAACACTCAGGACCATGACAGTAGCCTAAAGACCTGGAAAAGACAATAATAGTACCAATAATAGTAACATTTTTAGTATTTTGTTACAATAATAGTAACAAATCACATGAATACTACATTCATGTAGTTGTAAAAAGCATGATAATATATTAAGTAATCCAAAGTATTCAGAATACGTTACTCTCATTGAGTAACGTATCGGAATACATTACAAAATGTATTTTGGGGCATGTAATCTGTAATCTGTAGTGGAATACATTTTAAAAGTAACCTTCCCAACACTGCCTGCAAGCTCCACATGGTGGCGATGTTGAAACGTTTTCTAGCACTCATATTTATTCAGAGGGATGGAACAGCGAGGTGGAGTTGTGTAATGAAG